GTTTAGAAAATAAACGTCTCAGTTTCTCCGAAACACACGCAACATACGGAATAACCACTGGTTTGGGTCTGGGTTTCAGACAGGATTCCATGCAACCTTCAGGTGAAAATGAAGACCCCAAACCGTTTCTGAGAAACGGTTTCTGACGTTTCTGAGAAGAAACTCTCAGACTGAAGAAGTCTCTTGGAGGAGAGACGAAACGTTTCATTAGAGAAGAACCCGTCCAGAAGACCTATACAATTTTTTTCTTTATTTTTTATATTTAATAACCTACAAAATATGTTAATTATAAAGTGACTCAGAGTTCTTCACCTCCACACCAACCAGTCCACCTAATTCCTGTCTTATAATAAATCTTATCCAGTATTTTATTGATGGACCAACAGAGTGGAGCAGGTCTGATTCTGCACATCAGTAATGAATAAAGGAAAAGATGAAGCTACTTCCTGTCTGCTGCCCGTCAAATTATTTACAGCAACATCAGAATTTAATCCCAAGTTGGACGTTATTGTCACGTTAGAAAAGGTTAATCTAAATATAATCACTTTATTATTTGAACATTGAAGATAGAAATTAAAACTTAGACTGTTTGATTCAGTGTTTTTCATTCTTAAACAGATGTTAATGTGATTATATATTATTTAGAATTGAATGCACAAACAAATGATGTAAGTGAAGTGTTTCTGTTAGAAAAGAATGTTAAAAACTTCATTTAACACCTTGAATGAGAAAGTAATTATAGCACCGTGTGTGTTTGAGGAACAGTGAGTAAACCAAACAACTTTTAATGACCTGGAACTGCTTCATTAAACCCGTTTCCTCCTAAGCTCTGATTCTGCTTCCTTATATTCTTCCTTTAAATGATTTCAAACACTTAAAGAGCGGCAGCAAGCTGCAGACAGAATACATTTTATGATAAATACTTTGGCAGCGAGGGACAGATAAAGCTGGATGATGAAAGGGAGAGACAGGCGGGTGAAACGTGCCGTCACCTCTCTGCTGCTCGAAACAAACAGCTCCTTCATTTCTCTGAGAAACAAATGTTAAACATGAAAAATAAACCAACAAAATGGGAGAAAAATTAGTTATTTCATGCTCAGATTTTGCAGGAAAACATGCCACTTGTGTGAGAAAGGTGAGCCTCGTCAGCTGTGATGAATGAAGACGTCCTCCCATTGATTTTTAACAAACTCTGTTTCAACCAAACTTTTATGCAGAAAGTCACAGTCAGACCGATCTCTGTAAACATAAAGCAAAAAACAGACTTTAGAYCAGGGGTGGGCAATCCTKGTCCTCGAGGGCCGCAGCCCCACAGGTTTTATGTTTTTCCTACTCCAGCACACCTGATTCAGACATTGAAATACCAAGTTCTGCAGTATGGAGGACCGACACTGACATAACTAGAAAAAAAGCAGAAATTTATAAATGGACCAATAAATAAATTCAATTAAAAATATGCCAATTAAATTAAAAA